CCCCAAAACCATAAACTTGAGGACAGACTTAAGTCAAAATTTTCATTTTTAATATCTTCAGTTACATTCGACGTACTAGCTTATAAGTTTGCAACTGTGTAAAATATTTCAATTCAAACATTGTTGAAAGTTTTATTTTATTATCGAAATTATTTCCAAAGTTATATTAATGTGAAATTTTGACTTAAGTCTGTTCTCAAGATCCCCAAAAGTTTCTTGTTTCTAGGTCTATGAGAGGCATCGGTAAGTCTGTTCTGTAGGTGAAGATCTGAGGTCCCAGCAATCCATCCAATATTTCTGTGTTTGTAGGAGAGGGGATGGTAAGACTGTTCTTTAGGTGCAGATTCAATATTCCAGTATTCCGTTTAAAGCTGTATTTCTAAGAGAGTTGTCGGTAAGTCTTTGTTTCTAGGAAAGGAATCGGTATATCTGTTCTCTAGGGGGATTTAAATGTCGCATTGTTTTGATGGTGACATTCTATATTGTCACGTACATATACAGATCATATTTCCTATGTGATAAGGGACCCCATCTGTTGGTTCAACAGAACTGGGGGCCTTTGAAAAGTGGAGACGAGCTCACTTTTGAAATTGTCTCACGTTTTGTAATATAGGTCAAGGTAAAAGTGGGGATCATACATTTATGTGTCTGTGCCTATGAGTGTTTGGTGCACGTTGTTTGCGTCAGGGATTTACTTTTAAATTGAAAATTCATAATTGATAGCTTCTTTATGTTTACCACACATTTACATTTTGATTCAAATTATTAATTGTTTTGTTTTAATCTGATTTACCCAATTCATTGTATCTTGACCAATCTTGTTACAGGAATCTAAGACAAATTAAGAATCAAAAGAGGATATTACACTCGCAGAGGGGTCCTCAATAGTAAATGAAGAGCATGCAAGTTCAAGTGATCAGAGCCAATCTGATCAGAGTAAACAGGAGGAAGATGGCACAGTTAGCACTGAGCAGAGTAATGAAGAAACCACAACAGAGGGTCTACCAGAGTTAAAGGATATGGAAGAAGGGCTAGAAGAGACTGAACAGTCCTTTTCAGAAGAAACCCCAGATGTGGTAACAGAAAATGTTGATGGCAGCAATGAGAACACAGAGACTGAGTTTGTGAAACAAGAAATAGATACAACTGAGTCAGAGCTGGGAAAATCGGATTTGAAAGAAGAAGGAGATGAGGAAGTCAGTAAGAAAAAACAGACAAGGATTAAACAGGAAATAATGTCCCCAAAGACATATATGGCAGAAGACTCCATACAGCAACAGAAAGAAATAAAGCAAGAAATGTTGTCTCCAGACTTAATTTATATATATTAACAGCAAGAATCAAACACTGGCCTGGCAGACGAATCCACACCTAAAGAAGACACAACTGACTTTTCAAAGGAAGACAAAGAGGGAGAAATTCTTAGTGAAGTAACAGAGGAACCAAAAGAGAAAGTGGCTCTTGCAGAGTCAAATGAGGAAGATTCTGAGAAAGCTTCTCCAAAGCCTGGAGAAATGGAAGATGAGGCATTGGAAGAGGAAAAAACACTAAACCAAGAAAACCAAGAAGGTGAAGATGGTGAAAAAAATATGGAAATGGAGGGGAAAATTGTGGGTCAGATGGAGGAAACAAATGTAAAGAGTGAAAAAGCTTTAGATGATGTCAGTGAAGAAAATGCTAAAGAAGAAAACACTTCATTTGAAGAAGGGACAACACTCATCTCTGAATCATGTGAAGAAAGCAAGAAAGAAGATGATCCAGAAATGAAGGTCTCAGAGGTAGAAACCATGGAAGTTGATGAAAAGAAAACGACAGAGGAAGGGGTAGTGGAGTGTGGGGATATAGAGAACAAATTAGAAGAGAAGACAGGAGAAACGAAAAACCAAAGTGAAATGGATAAACAACAGGAGACAAAGGAGGAATGTGAAAATAAGGCAACAAAAGAAGAGGAGATGGAAGGGCAGTCCCATTTAACAGGGAATAAGTCATCTGCTGAGGGGGATGTTGAAACAATGCCAAGTTCAGATGATGGAGGAGAAAAGATGGAAAGCAGGGAAAAGGGTTGCAGGCAAGCTGAAGGTGGAGAAAGTCCAAGAAGAAATGAGAGTACAGAGGAAAGAAGAGGACAGAGTACAAACAGAAGTCATCAAAAAAGTGTAAGTTTTAAAGTGATCTCTAGATCTTTGCAGTTTGTGTTCAAGAGGGCAGGTATATAAATTGATTTTAATTTAATTATTTTTGTATGTTGTCTGTGTTTCCTGATATGAGTTTCAGGAGCCTCTGACAAATTTAAATTATCAAGTTTAAGAATAAAGCTACATCACTTGTTAAATTGCTACATTGTGCTGTACATTATTGCATTTTCATACTGAAGATACAGATTACAAATGTATATATATACCGGTATATCAAAAAAGGGAGGGCTACAACAGAGCTCTATATTGTGAACAATATTCAAAAAACAAAAGATTGAAAAGATTGTATTCTTGCAAGTTGATAAGGGGGTTATTAACCTTTCACTAATATTCTTCTTGCTTTGTTGGAAACAGTAGGTTTGATTCCTATGTTTAGTTTTTTTCCAAAATCGTTTTTCTTCTAAGAAAAGCGATGTTACATTTTCACATAGGATTTGAATTTGTGCATTTTCTCAAAGATTTTTAATTTATGCATATCAAGTTTAAACGGGCCAAGCCAAATGTAAAGACTTAGAAACAAAACAACTGCTTATAGCAATATACATACGTATTATCTTTAAGTGGAAAATCACGTTGAATTCCTGACTTATTGATTAATTCGGCTTCCCAAGTAGTGCTTTGTTGATACAAAACTTACTATTTTAAACACTTTTCTCCCAGTGTAATGTTTGCCTCATTCCTATTGATATTGATAGTAGAACATAAAAGGAACCCTAGTAAATTAAAACTTCTGAAAAGTAGAGCATTAAAATTTAAATAATATTCAGCTATGATTTTGTGTCCCTGTTGTGAAGACCACGTTTATTTTGGGCTAGGATAGAGTTAACATAGTTTAAATTATCAGTGCATAATAATTGAGTGACATGTTTAAAGTCTCCAAAAGAGGAGAGATCATATAGTGGTGGCCACCACAGCAGCCAACATTATGGCAGCAGATCACATGGAAATCGAGATCACAGATCCCCCAGCTACCAGTATGATCGACACCAAGAGGACAGAGGCAGGTCAGGACATGACAGGCATTCTCACGGAGATAGGTCAGTAGTTAAAAGTAACTAATAGTAAGTAATAGTTATCAGACAGACGCTGGTCAAGACATGACAGACATTCTCACGGAGATAGGTCAGTAGTAAAAAGTAATAATAAAAAAACCAGACATCAGAATTCAATGTGTAAATAATGTTACCACCCCTAGAGAAATAGTCCTTGCCTTGTGGTATCTAATCTTGCTAACTCCCTCAATATATACTTTAACTGTATACTAATAGTGATAATATTGATAGACTGACAATATGTAAATCATATATCAAAATTGTTGACTTTGAATTTCAGAGATGGTAACAGACATCATGGCCATAACAGGCATTACCATGACAACAGGCATCATTACGATAGAAATCGCTATGATGACGGAAGACATGGACATCACGACAACAGGCATGGTTACCATGACAACAGGCATGGGTTCCCAGACAACAGACATGGTTACCATGACAACCGATCTCCAAGAGGTCATTGGAGAGGTCATGGAGGGTACAGGGGTGGATATAGAGATTACAGATAGTTAACGCCAGAGGATTTCACGAGATCTGAGACAGGATAGTAGTATACACCTGTAAATAGTTTATCAAAGAGAATGACTATAATATGGTTCCTTGATTTTTATTTGTGTTTTGTAAAAATGTTATAAGACTAGTTTTATCCAATTGTGATATGCTAGTAAAAAATTTTAACTTGGATTTGAAATCACAAGATTTTACAAAAATTTACAGCTGATAAAGTGTACGGTTTTGTCAAAAAATTTAGTTTACTGTTATTTTAATGATGTTAATAATCAGAAAAAAATGCTGTACGAAATCTCCATTGGTAATTGTACTTACGTAAGGGAGGTCATTTGTAAAAATTTTGATTTTTTTCCTTGTTATTACTCACAAAGTTTTCGACATAAAAAAATGACATTAGAATTTGTAAATAAAATGTTTATGCTTTTTTTGTAACTCATATTCAAATAATGTAAAGATATTCTGAATGAACTTTCATATTCAAAGCCTCGTTATTAACATGCCTATATTTGTAAATTCATAAAGAAGAATAAATTTTATGTGTGAAAATAAATAAAATTAAGATTGTTATTAATTGATTTTCTTTTTAACCCTTACCTCTGCAATGGACTTCAACAATTTTAATTGTGATTTCCATTCTTATGTCGATAAATATGAATATATACGGGTGATGCCTGTGAAATAAAGAAAGCAAAACCATAGACACATTTCCAATTTCAAAAGTATTTTACTTGGAAAAGACATTAATTTTGTGAATAGTCAATAAAATAATCTTAGTGAGATGCATAGAGTGTACCTGTGTCTTGCAATACTGGAGTGGCCCAATTATACCTCTTAAAGCATTAACTACAGCACCCCTACTAATGTTATTATGATTTAAGGTAGGATATTCTTCTCACATTTCTTGTATTTAAAAATTAATAAAATTTTCACAGAATCAAGAGGACATTATCACTAAGTGATGGTATCAGTGAGATTAAATTTGACCGTTTAATATAAGAGGCAAGGTCAGGTCAAGGTCATTACCTTTCTCCTGGACATTAAGAGTTAAAAAAATACTGTTTTAAATCATGCGATCCCTACTTGTAATTCAAAAGATTGAATGTTTTTCTTTTTGAATACAGGTGCACCATTTTGATGCCTATACAATTTTGATTTAACCAAATGTGGATAATTTAAATGAAATTGATATTTGCTATCCGAATTTCCTCTACTTTTTAAAATTTTATAGGATTTATTGCTTATTTTTATATGCATTGGTCATATATTTAACTTTTGCCTTTTTCACACATAGTAAATTTGTCACATAAAGGTACATAATGATACAGAAACTAAAGGTATTGTCATTTAAATTCTAGAAAAAGTACGTTTTAAACGGAACTGTATTTACACCCATTCTCAATATAAGGGCACAAATGCCTCTCTGATTTTTTAAAAACTGAAGTTCAAGATAACAATTTTTCTATCAATTACCTTTGAAAGAAAGTATCTGAAGATTTTGTTTCAAGATTTTTTTTCATCAAATTATAATACATGAAATAATGACAAGACGATAAAGCAGAGGGTGATTTTATTCAGAAATGTAGCTTGAAATGTACGTTACTCTTTCTTCAATGTCCAAAAAAATATGTAAAAAAAAATGTAGTCATTTAAATCACAATTAGAATAGCTCATCTTAACACCAGCACATCCTACCAACTCTGTCAGCAACAAATTTTTTCGGCATACGAACGTGCGTTTGATTTTTCCTTTCAAAAAACAATGGTTACTTTTTGATCCAGATGTATAAAAACATTTTTTTAATATATGCTTTAAATTCTTCTCTCTGTTTTGTTAAGAGCGATCAGTTTGGAATCTTGTCAATTTTTATAGATACTGGAACCTAACATGTACATGTAGTAAAATTCTATTTTGTAGTTACTATCTTTTTTAACATATATCCATGCCGATTTAGAAAACTATGTAAATGTAACGTACATTTCAAGATATATTAATGTTTAATAAAAAGCTTAAAATTCATCTAAAATTCATCTAAAAATTCATCGTTTTGTTTCAGTTTATTAAAAAAAAGATTCTCTATGTAATCACATTGTGTTATATGTCACAATCACCACTATAAAGACACGATTGCCTCAGAATATGAGTAGGTAACGTACATTTCAAGCTTGTAATAATATGTAAATTAGTAATAAAATATATTGAAAAAAAAGCCAATTATTGACATAAAAATCATTTCAATGAGGCGTTTTAAGGCAGTAATATAAGAAATCATAATGTTACAAACGAGGTTATTTGTCATCAACTACATGAATGTCACGTCACTTCGGTAACGTTCATTTCACATATTATTGGGAGAGTCCCTCCACCTCAGTTCATTACCATTCTTTTGTGCTGTTTCGCTGAAATTGACACCGGTCGTAGCCTAGTTACTTCTAATTGTGTGCAAGGGTACAGACAAAAAAATATAAGAGTCAGATGTATTTTGCTATGATCTAACAAATGTTCGTGTTTGGCCATTGAAACTTAACATAAATCTATTCCGAATATATCCATCGACAGTCTTGTTAACAATTTCATTTAATATGTTGCAGCATCGTTTTTCAAAACACAAACATACGTGCTTTTCAGCAGATCTGGAAAAATATAACCCAAAATGCAATGATTCAAACAAAACTGAGTATTCAGTATTTGAAAGGTACGTGACCATCTTGTGTTCTGGGTTTATTTGTTTTGTTTCTTTCTTTTCTTTTTTTTTTGTTTTTTTTTTTTTTACCAATTATAAGCCTATGCATATCTTGTTTTAAATTATCAACAACAATTAAATTATAATATTGACGAAAAGTCGCATATTAAAAGTAAACAAACTGCAAAAAGGTTGCCAAAGATGAATGTAAGACACTTAGAAATAAATTTTCTAGCATGTGGTAACAATCTAAAACATTTACGAGGATTGGGGGTGCATTTAGATGGATTTATGTGGCCAGTTGTCAAATGGATTGTAACGATAATTTTGTTTCGCTCGTGTAAACGCAATTCATTGACTAAATTAAAAAAAATGTCAGTTAGAAATACATAAAATGTACGTTACCATACGTAACGTACATTTCAAATATAAAAATCAATTCTCTTCCACAAGCATACGTTGGACACGCAATATATTGATACTATTAAAACTTGCATATCATAAGAAATGCATCATACAGGTTTCGTATTCAGAAATATATACCAGGTATCAAAATTATTTTACATATAATTGACCTTAATATATTTTTTTTCCTCAGCAGAAACGTTTCTTTTCATTAATTTTGGGATTTAGCCGAGCTCCAACCTTTGAAACTTTCCTTTGTGTACACATTCGACTGTGTGAAAGTATGAGAATACATGAAAATTCGTGCGAGATTCACTTAATTCGAATTTCATGGTAACGTACATTTCAGTAACGTACATTTCGAATGATAACTTTTCATGTAGAAAATAATTTTTAATTGTGTTAATCAAATCGTCTTTGCCAGTTTACAGGATACAAGGGGTTGCTTATTCAGAGTCGTCTCATATTTTCTACTTAATATATATTCTTAATGGAAAAATATAGGTAACGTACATTTCTTTCTTATCTCTACGATTGAAAATGTCTTTCATTCCGTAAACATATTTTAAAAAGTTGCTCAAATTGTTCAATTTCATGTTTCATTATCTAAGTAGGAGTAATTAATCTATGAAAATCTCAATTTTAGCCCATAAATAAATAAAGGATAAAAAAACTATCTGGTTTATAATCTTTGTGTTTGCTTTTAATGTGTTTTAAATAAAATTAAGCGACAGGGACATTGCACAATAAAAATTATTTATTATCACAAAGAAAATGTATTTATTGTTATGAAAAGAAATATATATGATACAAGGTTTAACTTATCAGAAAATTTTTACTTAAGAATCAAAACTATATATTACACAGAGGGGATTCAGAATAACCTTTGCCTCGGCGACAGTAACGTACATTTCAAATAGGCTACTATATTTGAATTTGGAACTCCTTAAATACCCTTTCAGACCGATAATTATATGAATTCTTATTCATTGTTATATGACTATTTATAATGTTGATTTAGAAATTACATCAGTGGTATTTCTTTTAAATGAAAATGAGGCGACATTGTTTGAGCCCTTATATTGAGAATGGGTGTTTTATAGCAGATTTATACAACCTGGCATTGTTTGCTACGAAATTGCTAAGCGTAATGTCACACTATTAATAACGGAACGTCATGTCATCGGCCTATGAATGTAACCATGTTATTTTATAAACAAATATGTATATGAAGTTAAGTGGATAATTGAAAATATTTACATTTGCCAGTGTCTTTCCTTATATGACAATACTAAAAAAATGAAATTCAATTTTCGATGACATGCACTCGGTCACATGATCAGACTTTCTTAGGTATGGAAAGCAAACTGCACGAGATATTTGGAAAGTCTTGACCGTGACGTCATATGACGTCGTATTTATCCGTTATGTTGCATTCAATAACAAAGTCTAAATAGGGCATTTTCTCTTTGTAATGCGAATAGAAATTAAAAAAAAAATAAATATAAGAAATAAGATATCATTTTTAGTGTGTCATTTGGATATGACATGAAGTCGGTACGTGACCAAATCTACTATAACGCCCTTCGGGCGTTATAGAATTTGATCACGTGACCGACTTCATGTCATATCCCAATGACACTCTAAAAATTATATCTTATTTCTTAAATAAACATAAATGTTATATAGTCAACAACATGATTACCGTCACATTAACGTAGAACCTACGTCCTTTGACATCATAACTAGTGAATGTGTTTAGCCTGTGATAGATCCATTATGACGTCATAATTAATTTTAATGTCAGTTTTTTCCTGTACTTTACATCTTCAATAGAAATGGTAGAAAACACTGCATTTACATAGAATTCAATTCGAAATCATGCTGAAATTATCTTAATTCAAGTTATATATTTTTAATGCTTTAATCTGGAATTAGAGAAACCTGAAGGCACCTTTTATTAACTAGATCTTGACCTTAATTAAGTTGACAAATCCAAGACTAACTTGTGTAATGAAATTACAATGTATACAACTTACTGTAATAATGTGAAT